GACGCGACAACCCAAAAAACAGTCATTTTCTGGAACTATTTCCTTAAACAGCGTTAACCAGTTGATCTTTGTAATGAAGTGTGTTTTCTTTGAGGTACAGACTGAATTCTTAAATATTATTTAGCCAAGCTTTGGCTTCAAAGAGTTAAAATAAATCAACACATGTAATATATAGGATCTGAGAGATACACCCGGCGAAGTGTTCACTCTTCGTCAACATTTTCTTCACAAACAACTATAAACAATTTATATCTTAATTGCGTCATGTTTGTGTTATATCAATGCATATATTTATTTTTGCAGTCTATACACAAAACTTGTTTTAAAAATAATGTTGTTAAAATTATTTATAACATTTACAATATAAATAGCATTATGTTATAGTTTATGGCGCTTTTCTGTGTCGTATAATATTACATTTATCACAGCGCTTTTGATTTCGACGACATGTTTCGATGTTTACCACATCATCATCAGGCTTATCAATTCATATATTTTTAAAAACTATTGTACATTTGTGCATTGCGTTTATTGATTTTTAATTTTCAGTCTTCATCTGGAGTATGCATTTTTGATGTTCATTATCAGGTTGTATTGTGATGTGTCGGACGTCTGATATCCACAGACGATAAACTGCAGTTATAAATAATTTTAACAACATTATTTTTAAAACAAGTTTTGTGTATAGACTGGAAAAATAAATATATGTATTAACTATAAACAAATAATTTAATTTCTGATTTATTGCGAAAATCTTGTGAATGCACAGATTGAGTTATAACTAGGTCCCATATTAAACAAATTATAGCTCTGAAATGAACATAGCTGTGGATATGATACGAAACACATAATATCGCAGCAAACTTCACATTAATAAAACATTTTTAAATTAGGACCTAATTGTGACCCTGCCTATGTACTCCCAATGACCGAGTAAATTACATTGCCTGCCGCAGCGCCGTGTAGTGATTGGTACTAGGGTTTATACAAAAACCGACTTTTGAAAAAACCGGTTTTCGAATTACAGTATTTCCAAAAAAACGGTTTTCGAATTTTTACAAAAAAATTAAAATAGTAAAAAAATATTTATACTTATTTTAAAAATTTTCAGTTTATTTAATATTTATGGAACTACAAAAATATAACAAAATAAAATATACTCCGTACAAAACCAAATAAAAATAAAATAACTAAAATCCGTACAAAATATAAATTATTAATTTTTATTTCATTTGGTATTTTTATTCAGGAAATATGATTTCAAAAAACATAAAATGTCCACTGAACGATTACTTAATCTTGTTCTTATTCTAGATACAAAATTGCCTAAAATAGAAAATACCCTCTCACTGGCTACTGAACGTGGTTTTATCGTTTTCAGGGCATCAAATAATAAAACTAAATTCTTTGTTCTTTTATTGTTTGCCTCAAATACTGAAAATTCGGCCTTCAGTGTCTTTCGATTTGATTGATTTCAAGTCAAAATGTTAACGTATTTAATTAATTAATTTTCATATAATAATTCTAGTATATAAAACCGGTTTTTTTAAATTTTAAAAACCGGTTTTCGAATTTTACAAATGTATCCAAAAAACCGGTTTTAAACCCGGTTTTTAAAAACCGACAAACCCTAATTGGTACTGAGTGTGTCCGGTTCAAAACCCGGTTATGGTGGTTTCTGTACCAGAAGAAACACGCAAAAATAAAACTTGTTTGCTTGTACGAGGGAATTACGTTAACTAGGGTTACAAACCCGAAAAATATCCTGGGTCCAAGTCTCGGTGAAAATGATGGATGTAAAGGAATTCAAATAACAATAATAATAAATTATTCCAAACACGGTGATGTAAAATATATAGTCATCCCTGACAATAAAACTATATAATACATGTACAAAATGTATTTCGAAAATAGCTGGTGTACTATGTACCTCAGGGGAAAGGTTTGCCTCGGGTGCACAGAACTAAATACTCTATAAAGTGATGAATAGATGGAATAATAATAATAATTTATACGATATTCAATTATGCATATCGAATGATGGATCCTATGATTATTATTAGAATTGTTTTTGTCGAATATCTCCACAGTAACGCTGCTAATACGTAATAAAATACGAACATAAGTTACGTCTAAAACAACTTTAATACCTATGTCGTTAATTAACTTTGTGAACAATATAATTTATAATAATTAAATGTGATATCTGTACTGTTGAGTAGCCCTGATAGAAGCTGCACCAATCAGAGTCTGAATCGTTAAGCACTGTGCTCTGTTGTTATGTTTAGCATGAAATTGCTGACAGATTATACGTAATGCGTGTTGGCACCATTTCAGTAGCGCGCTGACATAACTGTGTGAAATGGACAGACTAGCTTTAGATGTGACGTTTTCCCGAAGAGAGAGAGACCATAGAAAGAATGGAACATAGCGGCGAGCGAAGTGGGGATGGAATGTGATATAACCGAAATAAGAGTCGCGTTCTTAACAGAAGATTGTTATTTTTATGTAAGAGATACCCGGAGTCTAGTTCCGTTCTGTGGAGAACATGCCGGCTGATATCGGGTAGGCTCAACCGAGAGAAAGTGGGCGGAGTCTGGCGAGCTTATGGCACCAGCATGCCGCACGTAATAATTAGAGTTTTGACACTACGGAGTGAAAGTGTGCCAGTTATGGCAACAAGGCAGTAACCCCGGACACCGGCACAGAGGTTCCACGTTCAGAAGGGTGGACCGCCCGCAGCAAATGTGCTACGTACTTGAGGACTAACTGCGCAAAATTTCTGTCTGGCCAGCAACCCAAAGGCTCGACCGTAACATCTCACATTCACACGTGTCTTAAGGGTCTGTTCGTCGGGGATATGAAGCCATGTGGTCGATTCTGTGTTTGTGCTATTGGCAGTCGCCGAGAAGATGTTTTCACATTAATTTACTTAAAATATACAATTTTTTAGTATATATTTATTTATTATTTCAGTCTATACAGAAACTTAATTTTTAAAATGTTGTTAAAATTACAATTAAAATTTAGCGCTTTTCATCGTTATTACGATGTTACATTTCAGCGCTTATTATTTTACGACATGTTTCGATGCTATTGCATCATCCTCAGGTTTTTATTGTTATTTTCATCTTTAAAACTAATATATATTTATTAATGCAACCTTTTATTGATTTATTTGTTTAGTAGATTTCTTTTTGTAGGTATTCCTTTTGATCTTCGTAGTGTTTTGCATATTTTAGGTCAGTTGTTAATTATTCTGTGAAACAATTAATTAACATACGAATTATTAATTATTAATATGAAAATGATTTTTTACTTTCAGGCGATTTACAAAACATTGCTTCAAGAAATTTTTATTCTTCAACACAACAGATTCATTGCCGGGTCAGTGGCTAGGCTAGTGATAAAATAAAGGATGAAATGAGCGGAGAGATAAAAAATTTAATATTTTATCAATAAAAATATGAATGGACGACAACTCCAGAGGACGAGGCGCAGATAGAATTATAATATTAAAATGGATCTTAAGAAATGCGAGAGAATGGACTGGATTCATATGCCACTTCATAAGTTTGCAATAAGGGTCCTTATGGACCTTCATGTTTCTTGAACAGCTCAGCTAATATTAATTTGTGAATAACGATGGAGTTACAGTACTCTACACCAGAATAATTTCTAGGATTCCCAGTTTTTTAACATTTTCTAGAAGAACAAGTACAACACTTTATCACAAAAAAAACTTGAAGACCTAGAAATTTAACGACGCTGAATAGCTCAGTCAGTACAGTGTCTAGCTACGGGCTGGACGACCAGGGTTCGATCCCCGACGGGGGCAGAGGATTTTTCCTCTAGCCTCTGCGTCCAGACCTGCTCTGGGGTCCACCCAGCCTCCTATCCAATGGGTACCGGGGTCCTTTCCCGGGGGTAAATCCGGTCGGGGCGTGATGCTGACCACTCACCCCCATCTAGTGCTGGGGTCAAGGAAGAGAGGAGCTATACCTCCACTCACCCCAAACGCCTACATGGCGTATAGTGGGACAAACTTTACTTTACTTTACTGTTAAG